ACAGACAGACAGACAGACAGACAGACAGACAGACAGACAGACAGACAGACAGACAAAACTCCTCAGCTATCCCGATTCGTATTACGAGTTGCAACCACATTGTCCGTCTGTCCTTACAAACATGCAACCTAGTGAAATTGCTCGAAGGAAGGAAACACAAAATGAACAATACCAATCGATAAAAGTAAAATGTATCCCTTCAGTTTGCAAATTTTTTAGCTATTAATAATAAGTATATCTGGGGTCTCCACTCTTCGTGGGGCCACTATTTTGGATCAACCAGTCGTCATGCGTGAAAGTCGGTTTTAGGTTTTTTTTCTAAGAATAGAGGTGAGTTGAAATTTACTTTTTCATATATTTTTTTAGGAGAGATGTGCGCCCTACTGGCCTGAACTGAGCGGGAAGAGCGCCGCACAGAAACATGGCCACTTCCAGGTGGAGTTAAAACACAAGGAGGTCAGCCAGGAGTACATCATGTCCACTTTGGAGATCAATAACCTCAGAGTGAGTGCCACACCTTACTTTACTTACTAACTTACTTACTCTCTCCTTATACTATTTATCGTCAGGTACATAAGGCGGAGAGCTGCAGTCGACGCCACGCTTGACTGACCCTGGCCACGTTCTCCAATATCGGCACATCCCGGCCCCGGGTGATTTTCTCATCCCTTCTTGTGCCTCTATAGCTGCCAGTTGTTCTTCCTCTTTTTTGTTTTTCCAGCTGGTCTCCAATACCTTGACTGATAAGGCAATCTTGCCTTCGGCATTCATAAAACATGTCCTGAAAAGAGTGCCGTACCAGACCATCAGTAATTCGGCGCCCTACCGGCTAGGCTATCGGACTCGCATCCATAAGGTCGTGGGTTCGAATCCCGTCAAGGTCCCGACGTAGTGTCCTTGAGAAAGGCACTTTACACGAATTTTTCCCTCACTTCACCCAGATGGAATTGGGTATCCGGCTATAGACAGCGAAAGATCTTGTCAGCTTGTTAGTGTTTGAGCATGTGTAATCCTCAGTTTGCACTGTATGCTTCCCAGAAAGCTGAGAATATTTCTGAGCGTTTACGGGTCGGCTGGTGTAATAATAGTTGTAAAGCGCATAGAACTTGCTTTAAGGCGTGGATATGCGCTGTATAAATTATGCAACCATTATTATTATTATTATTATTATTATTATTATTATTATTATTATTATTATTGTTATTATAATTATTCATAGAGTCACCAGCCTTAGGTGTTGTTTTTGGTCTCTCGTTCTCCTTATTATTTTTTTTTATTCATTTAGATTCTCCCTTATGCATTCTGTAAGTGAGTGCCAATTTATATTAGAAAAAGACATGTTTTAGCCTTCCCTTCCTACAGTTTTCCCAAGTGAAGGTTTCGTCGAGTCACACGCGGTTTTTTTTCGGTTTTTGGGGGTTTGTTGTTGTTTATTTTTCAACGGTAACTCAAAAGAATCGACCTGCTTCCACATATGTGACAGCGATCTACGTTCACGTTGGAGACGTGGTATATACATACATTATGACGTGAAAACCACTGCTTATACTTAAACTCATATTTTAGGTGACATTTCATTGTGTTAAATGTTTTACGCTCCCCTCGACACAAGTTGCATCATTTCTGAGACGGGTTGCTCTGATCGTGCCTACCAAGTCAATCTGGATTGAGTGAGATATAACATACAGGCGAACAACCTTAATAAAAGTTGAATAAATTCACCTCGACGGAACCGAATCAATTCTTCAACAAGCAACGGCGAATAACTAACCAGTAGATCACGGGCGATGGAGGCTGGTGAATTATGAGTTAAGCTTGATTACTTTCACATAGTGAATGAGTATAACACCCATTTCAATGCTGCTACCAATTGGCAACACTCACCATCATATTAAAACAGAATTACCCTTTCTATAATGAACACAGTGAAGTCACTTCGGGTGTTTCAGTTAGTTTCTACTCTACCACCTCGTCTCCTTCTTTTCAGTATCTCAATAACAAATGATTATTGCCTTCATTAGGTCGTGCAAGATCTGAAACAAACATCGACAATAAATCATGGATTGCCACTAAATTTGTCTGGTCAGTTGCTTTCAGGTAAAACGTATGTTATTAGTTATTATCCTGTATTTTTCCTGTCACCTATCATCATCTTCATCACGCCACAATTAATTTAGTTCCACGATCCAAAATCTGTGTCCATGTAATGTCACTCTGTAACACTGCGCTATTCCTTATTACAGAAGATTGAAAAGCGACAGATTAAGCATTTTTGGTACACATGCTGGCCCATGAAAGGCACACCGGAGCCAATCTCCCTGGTCAAGTTAGTCCTCGATACTCGGCCAGCCTTCGAGAACAAAGGGTCTCCACTCATCGTTCACTGCAGGTACCGGGGCTTTCATACTGTCTCTCCAATTCTCTCTTTTCAACACTGTCTAACCTTCTTTCTTACTCTCTCTCTCTCTCTCTCTCTCTCTCTCTCTCTCTCTCTCTCTCTCTCTCTCTCTC